GAGTATTTACATGTCGAATGAACCTTTCTTTCCTTTGACAATCTCTCTTTCTATCGCCACCTTCCGTTTGTGGTACGCTTATTCTGGCTTTCGGGATGGGATAACTTGGATACATGCCAAGACAAGGAGGGGTGCAGACTGCAAACTGCACCCTCAACTTGCACACACACATTCTCCTCATGCATCAACTTCACTCACCTGACAGCATTACAAGGCCGAATGTCGAGGCCAACCATGAGGCCGGTGAAATTGCTGGGGATTCACCAAACTCATGCTTCCACTCTGTCATTTCTTATCACCATGGCAATGGGCAACCTGACAAAACGACTATTTGGGTACCGGATGTAGAACCATGTCTTTTCAGTTTCTGCACTAGTCTTGATCAACCCGTACAACACAAAATTCGTGATCATCTTGTCTCGAAAAGTGTGATACCACTTTCCATTTCGAAGGGACACTTGGTTGAAGGTGATTCGTGGAAAAGTTTTCGGATCTACGAGTTGAGCTTTTTTCTGCCACGACGTGACAGACATCGTCGGAATGAGGAAGCATCACTTCGAAAAATACGCACTAAATAGCAGAAGACAAGAAATAAAGGCTATCAAGTGCAATCACACTCACTTCATATGCCCAACTTTGCGATTATGCTGATCTATCTGATGGTCCAATTGGCTATCTCATGCTTGACACACAGTCTCGAGGATGGGAGGAATGGCCAATCACCGCATAAGAGGCCTCATTAGGATCGCAAAGTTGGGCGTGATTGCAGCTGCGCATTCTTATTTCTTATTTTATAGTATTTGGTGAGTTTTTTCGTAAATTATGGTTTCTACCTCTAGTCTTGTCCGCCACACGACGTACGAAAGGTGAGATTATGTGCATGGGGTGGCAGAAGGGTGCCCTGAGGACAATCCTTCTGCACGTTCAGGTGAGTGCAATTCTCAGAGTGTGAAATCTATTCATCCAATTTCGTTGAAGGTGATACGTCGACTTGGCAGTCAGCTATTCCCACAGCCATTGGATTGTTATGGGAAAGTGCCTGTTTTTCCGTGAAGTGCACATCCGCCCTGTGACCAAAGGGCACTTGTGACGATGTGGCGTATTGGTGGACGTGTCGAGATTACGGGCTGCACTGCCACAGACCGAGTTCGAGTCCCGCTGGGGGTGGTGATGGGACCAGTTCCGGCGAATTCACAACTGCACTCTACTCCAACCGGGATGAGAATGCCCTTTTGGAAACAAGGCTGCTTGAAGTTCACTGGAAATGTGAGACCTATTTTTCGTAGTTAAATAGAGTTTCGAGACTACCAGTAGATAAGTAGTATGATGTGTATTCACCGTATTTCGTACAAAATGAGTAGAGCTGACGTTTCCATTGAATTTAACATATCATTTTGGGAAAATTCTACTACCAGTCCTTCATGAGCTTAAACGAAATAGGGTGAATACATCTCATAAAACGTGACCTATTCATATCGTTGTGGGAAAATTCAACTACTCAAACGAGATGGTTGTTGGCTTAGAGCTTCTAGTGGTCTGGTAAACCTACTCATAAACGAAAAATAATCCAATTTCATCTATCCAGCTTTTCGTGGGAAATTACAAATCATGAAATCTTACAACTCCTTTTTTTGGTTATACATTCTGTAGAAAAGTTCCGCTCTACCTTGGCCCGTATCGTATCGTAACGGTATCCTACAGGCCGTTTGACGGCAGAAAACCGTCGTCTGTTGAGTCAACATGGCCGACAACAATTCGATCAAGTCGATGCGTGAATGTCGCAAAGAAGTACCCTTCGGCTACTCTCGAGGCTGTCAGTCTGTGACATGCGCAACGCGTGTACATGCCTCACTTTTCGCCCGACACCCGGTCGGTTTGGCCACAGCGTCATCGTTGCTAACCTCCTCTGACCTTGCCAACTGCTCGACTGCCCAACTGCCCGACCGCCCGACCGCCCAACAACCCGGTCGTGTCGATAGCGGTTTTATGCTTTTGACCGATGGCCAACGCCAGACTCCGAGAGCCTACGACTGGTCGAAGTGGATGCCGCAAAGCCAATCAGAGTGTACACACCAGCCTCCTTGTCGACCGGGCAACAACGGTCGATGGAGCCCTGACAACGGCCAGAACCGAGGGCTGACAAGTGACCCAGTTTTGGATGTTGCCTCGCCTCGGCAACCGAGGCAACTGCATATATGTATGACGGTTGATTGCCTCGTTGCCAGTCCGTGAGTGCGGGCAACCGAGGCCTGGCCGAACAGACGAGGATTGCCTAATCGACCATGAAAGACTTGCACGACTGACGCAATGAGGGCGAGGAAAGTAAAGTGGTGAGCAAAAGCGAGCAAGCTGAAGGCCAGACAACGATACATTCGGGTTTTGCTTTTTGTCTCCATTCGCTAAACACCAAATGACTTGAAGATGTGAAAACCAACATGTTGTGGCCTCTGGTATGGTCGCAGACTCCTTTCACATTATAGAAGTGGGTTGATCTCGTTGTGGCAATTTTATCTTGTTGTCAGGGCGACTATGTAGTAGTTGTCATGATTCCCAGCATCAGACTGTGGATTTGATACATTCGCAAACGTTTCGCCGGTATCGTATTCTTGAGTGCAATACACAGGAACAGATATCCAAGGATACACAAAAGCCTGGAAACGAATGAACAATTAGTCCTTTAGGCGGACAAAGGAGGAGCTACAGTTATAATGGACATTAAAGAATATACCGAGAAGATGGAACATATTCTACGAGACAGGACCACATATCGTATACTACACAAGGAATGTTAATTGCCATGCTGAAAGATCTGCATGTGAATGGGGAATTTGACGCATGGAAAATAAATTAAATCATAAGAAAGGATGCACGACCACCAACAACAACACAAAGAAGGCGAGCCACTAAGGCGGATAGTCAAAAACAAGTATGGAGCAATACACAAATGAGCAAAGTTTATGGTTAAGACTTAATAAATTAAATGAAAGGATATCAAACATGGTGAAACATTCATATGCATTTTTTCAGAAAATCAAAAACATGACACAGAAAGAAACTGACTTATTGGTAGGTTTCGATGTGGAATCCATGTATAGAGATATATCTGGAGAGAATGCACTAACGGCCCTAATGGAAATCCTGGAATCACAACGGATCAGGAGGGAGTCGTTAACAAGACTGATCAACTTGACAATAAGGACAACACATTTTACATTCCACGCGAACATTTATGAACGAATATTTGGATTTCTCATGGGATCGCCGCTCTCACCACTTTTGACCAATGTATACATGAACAAAATAAAAAGAGAGCTTCAAGATGGCACCGCCACGACCGGCAGTGTTCATGTGGTACTTGGATGCTTATTTCACACTTTGGTCACATGGAAGAGAAAAACTGGAAGAGTTTCTGAAGTTTGTAAACCAGATTGATGAAAAATTCAATTCACGATGGAAGTAGAAGGCGATCGGTTACCGTTCCTGGACGTTGAAGTGATCCGTTCTAATGGAACGCTGAAGAAGAAATTGTTCAGAAAGAAGTCCTATGCTGGGATAATACTCCATTTCAGGTCCCATCACAATTACAGACTGAAGATTGAAATAATGAGCAGCAGGATCATCCGAAGCCTACGCCTAACGGATTGTTCAGGAGTTTACTTAATATCATTCGGCGCGTGCAAACAGAAATCTATTGGCGAAACAGGGAGAAAAATTGACATACGAATCAAGGAACATCAAAGGCTCTACAGGAAAATGGATACCGAAAGATCATAACTAGCGGGACACATCGCACAGACTGGACACGAGATCAATCGTAAGGCAACAGAAACAACAGCTTCATACGGTAACAACACAAGGAAGCACAAGATAAAGGAGACCATTGACAGACTTGGGAAGACAAATCTAATGAACTGGAGATTGGAGGAAGGTAGAGTTAGCGATAACTTTGCCTACTGCCTAAGCAAACTCGAGGAAAACAAGAATAGAGCAAGACCAGCAAAAAAGAGACGCCAAGATCAAGGATCTGCCGCTGACCGGAGTAGAGAAGATCGCGATCAAGAAAGGGGGGGGCAGGGGCTTCAAAATAAAGCCAAGACGTTGTCAATGGGTGATGTCCATTTCGAATAAACCAGTACAACTTTGGGGGCCTGGCAGTCAGGGAGCTGGGCAGACGGATAAACAAAGCGTCACGGAGATGGCCAAAATGTACTAAAAATCAACTTGAAATGCCGCATGCGAGCAGAGATAGGCGTCCACAGTTTGCTCAGATAACATGGGTTTAATCAAGGAGACGAGCCGTGAAAGGAAAGCCTCATATCTGCAAGCATGTGAATCACATTCTGTGCGCTCTGCTCGATGAGGCGTCAGTTTACATGCTTCTCGGGCCTTGAGAAATAGCACTTGAGTGAAATGCACACCGGGACTGGAACTGAGTGAAAACCGTAAACCAGAAAGAGAAGGAAGGGATCTACGAGACAATGAAGGGATCCGGATTGTAGTCCAGGCCCATCGAAAGAAAGGGGTCGGGGTAAATAGCATGTATTATGAGGCAGTGGGACAAGAGGGGGAAGAGTAGATAGATAGACAATGACAGAAAGAGGAGTGATAGTGTAACCGTTTTCGGCATAACAGTTGTCGAGGCATTGACTTCAATTTACTCTTTGACGAGTTCGTAGTTTGGTGCGGAGAATAGCAGCACTGACTGATGAATCCGGCGAAACGTTTAAGAATGTACCGAGTCCACTGTCTGATGTTGGGAATCATGACAACTATTATGGCAGACGACTTCGGACTAAATGCGTTCTACTTAGTCGCCCTGACAACAAGACCAAGTTGTGACGACGAAGTCAAATCACTTCTACAAAATGACTTGTTGATGTGAACATAAAACCCATAAATTTTAGTCAACACTGAAGATATGAAGACCAAGATGGTGTGGCCTTTTGTGTGGTCGAAGTCTCCTTTCGCTGCATAGAAGTTGTTTGACCTTGTTGGGCATGTTGGTAGGAAGACTTAGAGGAACGCACCTTGTCCGGAGTCCATTGTATGCATCATCATTTCCAGTCTAGGACCGCTGACGTGGTACATTCCCAGACGTTTGCCGGCATCGTCAGTGAGTCTTGCCATTTGTAGCACCACACAACTACTCGTCAAAGAGACAAGTGAAGCCCATGCTTTGACCAAACGTGTGCTAAACAGTTGTGGTATCTCTCCTTCTGCCCTGGGTTATTCACATTTCCTATCTCCTCCAATCACACCTTCATTGTCACAATATTCTACTTGCTTTATTAAATGTGGTACAGTGTGCCCTTTTGAGCGGCTTTCATGAGAACCCTTTTTGAAGGAAATAGGAGGCGACAAAACCAGTCTTTTCTAATTGGGGCGATCTTTATTTCGTATGAAAATAGATGAAGGAGAGGTTCGTAGGTCCAGATCACCAAAAGACGACAGTTTAATCTCATTGTACTGCAACCGCTTGGCATCACTACGACTTTCAGGTTGATGCCGTCAAAGAGGCATTCGTCCTTGCTTCGGACGAAAACAGGCTGACCTTCAATCTATCATATGATCCACATCCTCGAAGCTGAAACGCGTTCTTGTAGCAATCTCACGTCGGCAAACACCGAGTCAAAAAGACCATCTGGCTCTATCTCACCTCTTATATAGACTCAATTAAACAAAAGAAAATTAAAATGCATAGAGAGATATATAATGGTTTGTCTAATTATCTTTCCTATTTGTCCTGCTATTTTCACACGAGTATGTGTGTGCTTTCTTGAGTGAAGAAGAAATCTTGTCTTCTCAGTAGGGTTTTTACATATCTGTATGATAATAATCTCATCGTTATGAAAGACGATAAAGTTGGCGCATTGGTAGGCATGGTTGGGTGAAGTTTTATAGAAAAAATGCTGGTTCATTTAAATGGTACTAACACGCATCTACCTTTAATGAGATATCCAACAGAAAGACTTAAGACTAGGCTAAAGGATGCTCTTAAGGTGTGCGTAAGTAGTGGTGAAAAAATGGAGGAGTGGAAGATGATTTCACAATTCCAGAGAGATGCAAAGGCCCCCATGGATTATGGTCTTTGTAAAGTTCACAAAAAGGTGTCTCTTTCAACGTGAAAAGAGCATTATGTTCACAATGGAAATGAAAGAGTGTGGGTTATAATCCTTTTTGGATGTCCCCATTATTAAGAGAAGAGGGATGTTTACAATAGAATAATAACTCTTTACCAAAGAAGCAATTTTCAGACGGAGACGATTTAGACACGAAGAGAAACTGAGTTTCGGTAGATCTCTTAAGATAACGTTGTTAGGGGGACTTTAATTTGGTATTGGAAGTCCACAAAAATGGTTTCTCTCTTTCAACGTGAAAGGAGCATTAGTTTCTCAATGGAAATGGACGAGTGTAAGTTCTAATCCTTTTTTGATGTCCCCATTATTAGGAGAAGATGGCAAGTTAAGGAGCGATGTTTACAAAAGAATAATAACTCTTTACTGAAGAAGATATTTTCGGACGGAGACTATTTAGTTACGAAGAGAAACTGAGTTTCGATAAATCTCTTGAGATAACATTGTTAGGAGAAGTTTCATTTCGTATGGAAGTCCACAAAAGGGTTTCTCTACCAACGTTAAGGAGCGATGTTTACAGTCTTACTAATGCTAATGTTGGACTTTTACAAGAATGACACCCAGCTCTGATAATGTCCATCGTTTGATGGACGAAAGTTCAGCACACTTTCACCCGAAACGAGGAAGGAGGTCTCGTGGACTGCGTCAACATGTACCTCGTCTAAAAGCCAAACGACTGCAGTACAACGAGATTCATCCGTGCTCATCTGGTCAGATCAACCAACAAATCTCTTCTTCATTCACTTTCGCGTGAAATGAAAGTCACCCTAACAAATGAAACTATTTAGTCAAAGATAGACAAGAGAAGATCCTTCTCGCTTCCTAATCTTGCCGTCATACATGCCCTCAAAAAGATGGGAGAACTAACCCGAAAGTGGGAATAAAAACAGTCTTTCAAGAAGCCATCCTACATTCTTCTGTTATGCCATCGCTACGATCGCTTATCGAAATCCGGCTGCTACAATATTGTGTGCTGCTGTGGTCGATCTTATGTTGGTGAGACAGGCAGACCCATTCAGCAAAGATGAGATGAACACAAAAATGCTTGTGAAGGAAGCTGGACCCAACGGTCGGAAATGGCCGAACACGCCGGCCAAA